AAGAATATTAGGGGAAAAATTGTTAAAATTCAAATAAAGCCTGTAATTTAATAGCATTATACCAAGATATAAGATATTATATCAATTTCTGGGTTGGCTTTTCTTTTTTCTTTGAGACAGAGTCTTGCTTTGATGCCCCGGCAAGAGTACCATGGTCTCAGCCTAGCTCACAGTAAGAACCTCAGACTCCTGGGCTTACACAATCCTCCTGCCTCTGCCTCCTAAGTAACTGGGACTACAAGTGCCCACCACAACACCCCACTACTTTTTCACTTTTAGTGGAGACAGGTTTTACTTTGCTAAGGCTGGTTTCCCACTCCTGACCTCAAGCGACCCTCCCATCTTCACCTCCCAGAATGCTAGGTGTAAAGGTATGAGCTACCAGACCTGGCCTAATTTCTGGCTTTGATCATACTGCCATGATTATCTAAGATGTTACCATTAGGGAAACAGTGAAAGATACTCTCTATATCCATCTTTCCATTATTAGGTCTTAAAATACCTGAGTTGTCACTGTGCAATTAAAAGAATGACTAAAACTTTAAAGATGCACAATTCAAATGCTGATGAAAATTCAGAACAATTAGAAATCTCTTATTTTTCTGACAAGAATGCAAATGGCACAACCAATTTGGAAAACGGTCTGGTAGTTTCTTATGAAATTAAACATACTTACTATACAATTCAGCAATCCCATTCTTAAGCACTTACCAAAAGAAATGAAAATGAAAATTAACAGCTTTAGTCATAATAGCCTTAAACTGGCAACAACCCAAACGACCATCCATCCACTGGTAAATGGAGGTAATACCTCCAAACAAAGTAATACTACTCAGTAATAAAAAGAATTAAGCTACTGATACATGCAACAACATGGATACACCTCAAAAACATTATACTAAAATACAAATGTCAGAAGAAGAGGCAACACTAGTAAGCCAGGGGCAGATGGGAAGAGGACTGACTGTGGAGGACAGAAGGGACTTGCTGACAATGTCCCTTTTTGCAGGGCTGGAAATGTTCTACATCTCCACTGTGGTAGTTACAGTTACCAGAATCACGTGTCAAAACTCACTGAGCTTTTTAAAGGGTGAATTTTATTATACCTCAATAAACATAAAAAGCAAACCAAAATCTACCTGAGGCAAATAAATATATTAAAGAAATACAAATATCTAATAAAATATACATGAAGAAACAATCAATTAGAAGTATGAGATAACTTTTGCCAACTTTCAAGTTGGTTAAGTTTTAATTTTATATTTAAAGTTTTATTTTCATTGACTTTTTTCTTTTGGCATACAGTTTTAAAAATGTTCAACACATGGGCTCGGCACCCATAGCTCAGTGTGTTAGGGTGCCAGCCACCTACACCAGGGCTGGCGGGTTCAAACCCAGGCCAGGCCTGCTAAACTACAATGACAACTACAACAACAACAAAAGAAATAGCCGGGCATTGTTGCGGCCGCCTGTAGCCCCAGCTACTCAGAAGGCTGAAGCAAGAGAATCGCTTAAGCCCAAGAGTTTGAAGTTGCTGTGAGCTGTGATGCCACAGCACTCTACCGAGGGTGACATAGTGAGACTCTGTCTCCAAAAAAAAAAAAAAAAAAAAATTAACACATGTACATTTCACATAACAACACTTTATAATAAAGATACCGAAAAGTTCCACCATCTAAAAAACTTCTATCATGCTCTCTCTTTATAGTTATTCCCTCTCCCCATCCAAAACCCCTGGCAACCACTGATTTGTTCTCCTTCCCTATAGTTTTGTCATTTTGAGAGTATCATATAATGGAAATATACATGTATAACCACCACTCAGAAAAGGGCTTCTTTCAGTTATAACAGCTTAACTATCACGACAGTCCTCCAAGTTGTGCGCATCAACTGTTCATTCTTTCTTATTGCTGAATAGCATCCCTCTAAATGGATATACTACAGTGTGCTTGTCCATTTCACCACTGAAAGACCCTATTAGTGTTTTTATATGTCCTTGAATAAAAAACTTTAAAGTATTGTACAGTAATTAAGATGAGAAGAAGTTACTTTAAAAGAGTTGATGCTACCTTATAGTTCTGTAAATAATAGATTATAATAGATTATGTTATTTCATTGTAACTACTATTCTTTATAAAGGGCTCTTAGCTAAGGTTGAAGAGCAATTTCATTAAATTTCTCGAATAAAAAAGATCAAAACAGAACAACAGGAGGAATTAGAAAAGCCAGCAGCAGAATTAGAGTTAACCAAAATAAAGTACAGAGGTTATAAGTACAGAGGTTATATGGTCTCATTATCTCATTGTTTATATTATATATTTCAGATATAATACTACCATGGGCAATAATTCCCTTCTAAGGGAATGTAATAGCTACATATAAAATAAACTGATACTCTTTAAGCAATGAGTTTACTTGCTTTGAAATACTATCAAAAAAAGAGTCCCACTATATAATAAAAGAGTATACCTTTTCTATTTCATGGCATTAAAGAAGTAAACTAAACATTACTATTATGCTAAAAATGGAAATCTTGGAAAACTTTTCTCCATTCTAATTAGGTCAGGCAATTCTAAAACAATGTATTACAATTCAATAACCTACACTTATTCTACTCACTTCCACCAATTAAGTGCATATAGAATACCATAACTATTGTTTGAACTAGAAAAAAATCTTCAAGGTAGCCTTCAGTCATTTAAGCACCTCTTTCATGGCAACTAGTATATTTCTATTGACTCACAATTTAAATTATGATAGCATTTGGCTCTATGCTTATCCATCCCATGTTCTCCTCCTGGGCATAAGGAAACTTAAATTTCTCAGCTTCTAGTTACAGTTAGACCCATAACTAGGTTTGAAAAATGGAATGAAAGCAAAGGTGCTAGTCCTCCACTTCTAGGCCAGACCCCAACAAAAACCTCAACTTGTTCTCCCCACTTCCCTGGACCTTACCTGTGCAGCTACAAGTTAAGGACTCAAAAACGGAGGAGTGACACAACACAAGTGGTTGCATTCCTGAGTCACTTCCTGGAGGAGAATCAATGCCTGGACTAATACCTTACTTTAAGTAATACCTTTCCTTTAGAGGCTATGCTAACCAGTTTCATGAAAGTATTTCAAATTGTATATAAAACCAGCACATTGGGGTGGTGCCTGTGGCTCAAAGGAAAGGGGTGCCGGCTCCATATACTGGAGGTAGTGGGTTCAAGCCCAGCCCCAGCCAAAAACTGCAAAGAAAGAAAAAAAGATAGCACATTGTACCCCATAATTGCATTATTATACACAGCTATGATTTAATTAAGAAAATAAAATAAAGAAACTGTTACAGCACTATTCATAAATGTGAAAGCACCTAATTTTTAATATATTTTCAGATAAACTTAATTCTATCAAATTAAAAAATGTTGATCTATGCATCACCTAAAATCATCTCATCTATAAAAAAGCACTAAGATTTCTAGTCTTCCAAAACTATCAGAAGAGAATTCATGAGGGGAAGAAAGAAAAGAAGTAAGTTTTGAAATTAAGTGGGCCTCAAATATGTCTTTTTATTAAAAAAAAATTGAATGATGAATCAAGGCATCATACATGATAACTCAATAGCCAGACAATCTTCTGATTCCATCACTCACCTATATTAACATCTAAAAAACAAGAAATCAACATTTTTACCATTTTAATAGGTACTTTATTATCCCTTATTTCTCATTTCTAATTAAACAATTTTCAAAAACCAATTATCTTTATTTTTTTTTTTTTTTTTTTTGAGACAGAGCCTCAAGCTGTCCCCCTGGGTAGAGTGTCGTGGCATTACAGCTCACAGCAACCTCCAACTCCTGGGCTCAAGCGAGTCTCCTGCCTCCGCCTCCCAAGTAGCTGGGACCACAGGCGCCCGCCACAACGCCCGGCTATTTTTTGGTTGCAGCCGTCATTGTTGTTTGGCGGGTCCGGGCTGGGGATTCGAACCCACCACCTTAGGTGTACGTGGCTGGCGCCTTAGCCGGTTGAGCTATAGGCGCCGAGCCCAATTATCTTTATTCTTAAAGATATTTATTCTTGTGCTTAACTAAAAGCTAATCAGAGGTCATCCTAATATACAGTCAGCCCTTTGTATCTATGTTCTGCATCCACAGATTTAACCAACTCCAAATGGAAAATACACCCCCAAAAAAGGGTGCTTATATCTGTACTAAACTAGAACATTTTTCCTTACTGTAATTCCCTAAACAACAAAGCATAACAGCTGTTTGCATAGTACTTACATTGTATAAGGTATTGTAAGTAAGATAGAGATGATCTAAAAGTATGCAGGAGGATGTATATAGGTTGTATGCAAATACTATGTCATTTTATATAAGGGATTTGAGCATCCATGGATTTTGATAACCACATGAGGTCCTAGGACCAATCCCCCAAGGTTAACAAGGGACAGTTATATATGACAAGTCGCATAAAGCCACGCTTTGTAAAGTGTTTGCTGTATAATTACCAGATCAAAAAAAATTGAGAGATAAATGAACAAATTATACAACCTGCCAGAAGTTTCTATTTTTTCCCCTTTCTAAGGAGTCCTTGCATTGAGCAGGTAGGTATACTACATATATTAATTAAACACAAGATCCCTTCCCATAATGGTTTTAGATTATTTGTTTTTAAGATACCTTCAGAGTTTTATTTAAACTTGTAACATGGGTTTTATTATTTTTACTAGAAAATAAACAAAATATTCTAAGTACTAGTTTGGGTAAAAACTTAAAAATCAACATGAAGTTTTCTCTACAGTTGGATTGTTATCATTAGGAGAAGAAAAATTTGTAATAAGAATAAATGAACAGAATTCCAAAGAAGAAAGGTTTTCTAGCTCATTATATTTACTTATTATCAAAATACCTCCTGCATTAAGAGACCTGACTTTAGAAGTCATAATTACTACTTCTTTAAACTCCCCACTCTTTTAAAAAGTTTATTTTTAAAACAAGTTAAGGGAAATAACATACTTATCAGATTTCCTTTTGCATCCCTGAGAGGAGCACCACCTCCACCTTTTCCCCAGGGGTTATAAATTCTCATTTCAGCTTCTAATTTAGCTTCATATTCTTCTTTTTCTTCACGTTCTTTCTTCCTTCTTTCTTCTCTTTCTCGAATCTTGACAACATAAGATATATTTAATTAAGTGCCGACAAGTATTCTGATATAAGAGGTTAGCAATCCTAGGTGTAATTTTCTTTCTTATGTTAGAAAAATTAACTGGAGCTGTCTTTTCAATATGCTTCACTACAAAGTTTAAAATCACAGTATATATAATACCCAATTTTAAAACACTCCAAAGGCTGAAATACATTGCTGCTGTTCCCCCATTATTACGCCACCAGAGGCCTTTCTAGCCACTAACGCTACTTCAGAATCAACCAACTCCTCTCTCCTCACTCACTCCTACCTGAGCCATTCCCTCTCTAACTTACCAGTTCCATGGGACCAACAGGATCTTCCTTTGTCATCTGTCTTTTCCTGAAGACTAACTATCCAACCACAAAGACTGCTCCCTACCTCACCAGACCTACTCTGCCCAGGCAAACTCTAATCCCAGAATTCAGAAAGGCTAAAGGTATTAAAGCTTTCTGGGTAATGGCAGGCTATTTTCAATACAGGCATTTCTTGTTTTATTGTGCTTTACTTTGGTGTACTTTGCAGATACTGAGTTTTTCACAAATTGAAGGTTGTGGTAACCCTGAATCAAGCAAGTCTGCTAGTGCCATGTTTCCAACAGCATGTGCTCACTTCGTGCCTCTGTGTTGACTTCTGGTAATTCTGCAGGCTTTCAAACTTCTTCATTACTATTATGTCTGTTACGGTGCTGTGATCAGTGATCTCTGATGTTACTATTATAATGGTCTTGGTGCACCATTAACCACGCTCATGTAAGATGACAAGCTTCACCGGTAAATGGTGTGGTAAATGGTGTATGTGTTCTGATTGCCCATCAACTGGCCATTCCTCTGTCACTCTCCCTCTCCTTGGGCCTCCCTATTCCCTGAGACACGACATTACTGAAATAAGACCTATAAATGGCCTGTAAACATTCAAGAAAAAGGGCATACCTCTCTCTTAAGTCAAAAGCTAGAAATGATTAAGCTTAATGAGGAAGGCATGTCAAAAGAAAAGACAGGCCAAAAGCTAGGCTTCTTGAACCAATTAGCCTACCTGTGAATGCAGAGGAAAAGTTCTTGAAGGAAATTAAAAGTACTACTCGAAAGAACAGATAAGTGATAAGAAACCAAAACAGCCTCCTGGCCTGACACAGAGAAATTTTCAGTGGTCTAGATAGATGATCAAGTCAGCCACAAATCTAGAACAAGGCCCTAACTCTCTTCAATTCTGTAAACATTGAGAGAGATAAGAAAACTACATAAGAAAAGGTTGAAGCCAGCAGAGGTTTGCTCATGAGGCTGAAGCCATCTCCATAACACAAAAGTATATAAAAATGCTGACAGAGAAGCTACAGCAAGCCATCCAGAAGATCTAGCTAAGACCACTGATGAAGGTGTCCATGCAGACAAAATCACCTTCTATTGGAAGAAGATGTCAGCTAGAACTTTCATAGCTGGCAAGGAGAAGTCAAGGCCTCAAATCTTCGAAGAGCAGGCTGACTCTCTTATTAGGGGCTAATGCAGCTGCTGACTCTTTACCATTGAGGAAATCTTAGGACCTTTAAGAATGATGGTACCTCTACTCTGCCTGTGCTGCAGACACAGGACAACAAAGATCGGATGTCAGCACATCTGTTTACAGAATATCTGAAGCCCACTATAAAGACCTACTACTCAGAAAAAGATTCCTTTCAAAGATTACTACTCATAGACAATGTACCTGGTCACCCAAGAGCTTGATGTACAAAGAAAGAAACACTGTTTTCTTTCCTGCTAACAAAACATCCATTCTGCAGCCCTGGGATCAAGGAATAATTCAACTTTCAAGTCTTATTCCAGAAATAAATTTCATTGTAAATCACTGTAAAAAGTGATTCCTCTGATGGATCTGGGCAAAATAAATTGAAAACCTTCTAGAAAGGATTTATCATTCTAGAGGATTAAGAACATCTGTGAAACATGGAAGGTGGTCAAAATATCAACATTAGTAGGAGCTTGAAAGAAATTGATTCCAACCCTCATGGACGGCTTTCAGGAATTCAGGACTTCAGTGGAGGAAGTAACTGCTTATGTAGTAATAACAGCAAGAAAACTAGAATAGATGTGAAGCCTGAAGATGGAACCAAACTGGAACAATCTCATGATACAATTTGAACAAATGAGGAGTTTCTCAAGGATGACTGAAAAAAAGTGGTTTCTTGAGATGGAATCTATTTCTGGTGAAGATGCTGTGAACATTGATGAAATGACAACAAAGGATTTAGAAAATTTTATAAACTTAGTTGATAAAGCAGTGGCTGGATTTGAGAGGATTGATTCAAATTTTAAAAGAAGTTCTACTGTGGGTAAAATGCTACCAAATAGCAGCACATGATACAGAGAAATCTTTTGTGAAAGGGTCAGTGTTAAAAACTTCAATATTGTCTCATTTTAAGAAATTGCCACAGCTACCCCAATGTTTGACATCCACCAACCTGGTCAGTCAGCCACCATCAACGTCAAGCAAACAACCTCTACCAACAAAAAGATTATGACCCCCAGAAAGATCAGAGGACTGTCAGCATTTTTAGGAATAAAGTATTTTTTTAATTAAGGTTTCAGCATTCCCCTGTATCCACTTCAAAACTTATCACACTGCATTATAATTAATTGGTTTTTATTCTCCCAGTCACACTCTGTGCTCTAAGGGACCACAACAGTAATGCCTAACATGTAAATGAATGAAATGAATGAATAAATGAATACCTGCTGCTGCAAAGCCTCTTGGTAAGACTGAAGTGACTGTTTAGAAGGTTTTGGTTTATCTTCAAAAAATAATCCTGAATTTATTGCACGATCACTTGTAATTTTCAGTTCATTCTGTCCAATCGTATTCCTACATCAAATAATTAAATAATAAATAATTTGAATCCATCTATGACAAAGCAAGAATGAGAAAATAAAACACTCCTTTGAAATAACATGGCATGTAAATACATTTAAAAATAAAAAGGATATTTCTCTGTAAACCAAAGAAGAATCCTTAAGTGACCCCTTCCTAAGCTCTCCCTCCTACCTCTGCTTTCATAATCCATGAAACTTTCGAATTTACTGGATCATTTCTTCACCTAGGTGGTAGTCACATGGGAATGGGAAAAAGTTTGTGATAATTCATCAAGCAGTATGACTTAGAGGTACTTTCCTGAACATATAGCAATAATAACGTAATGAAATTCCCCCAAGTAACACCATAGTAACTAATGATTTATTTAAAAATGACTTACTAATAAAATCACTTCCTAGTCACTTTAAGAATAAAACATAATTATAGTAAAAAGTTTGTCTCAAATAAAATTATAATTTTTGAGAAACACATAAGAAAATAAAAAATGTAAAACATTATAGTTATATAAATCACAAGCAATAAGGTGTTATGTCTTAAACATACACACGTTTAAGTATAACAAAGTCTTACTATCTTCAAAGTGAATGTATTCCTATACTTAACTAAAATGGAAATTATAAAATATAATGCAAATGTTTATTTTATAATAAAATTGTATTATTTTCCAAAAGCGTTACTACTTTAAATAATGAGTTTCCTTTGTGTACTATATTTAACTTATCCAACTTATTTACAGTCTTTTAATAGGATAAAAAAGCACATTTATGTAAAATGTCAAATTGGACTATGAGTGGCTAAGAGGGAAGATGAGAATAAGGGCACATAGTTCCCTAATAACCTTAACATTTTTTCAGAGCATGGGGGCTCTTTAGGTAGTATGAATGAATAAAGAGAACAAGAGCATTTGTCCAAGTAAACTCAATCTTAGAAAATATACTGGTTATGAATCATATAGTAGACAGATTACCTCAAAATGTATTTCATTCATTATCCTTTCACTCACAGACCCAAATTCTTGGCCTTTATTTATCAATTCCTCTCTGGCCCCAAAAAGAAAGGGTTTAAAGATGTATCTAGTTAGATTAGGAGGAAAGGAAGAAAACGGTAGGGGTATTAAGTACAGTTTTATCCCTCAGTATACATGGGGGATAGACTGCACATCCCTCTGCCTAAACCAAAATCCACAAAGCCTCCAAGTCCCCAAGTCAGCCCTGGGGAGCTTCCGTATACGAAAAGTCAGCCCTCCATATATGTGGGTCTCAATCACACAAATACTGTATTTTCAATCTGCATTTAATTGAAAAAAAAATCTGCATATAAGTAGAACTGCAGAATTCAAACCCATGTTATGAAAGGTCAATTATATATAATTCAATGATTTTTTTATAAATTTAAAGAACTGTACACCATCATCACAATCCAGTTATAGAACATTTCCATAACGCAGAAATATCCCATACATCTGTATGCAATCAATCCTGATGCCCTGCCTCACCCCCCTCACCCCAGGTGGCCACTAAATTAAGTGGCCAGTTTTCCGTCTCTATAGATTTGCCCCTTCTGACATTTTATACAAATGGAACCACACAACATGTATAGATCCAATGTTCACTCATAGTATAGCATATCAGCAGTTCGTTACTTTTTATTGCTGAATAGTACTTCACTGGAGGAATATAAAACATGTTGTTTATCCATTTACTGGCCGAGGAACATTTAGCTGTCTCCACTTTTTTGGCTATTATGAATAATGCTGCTGCTACTGTAAACATTCACATACAAGTCTATATTATATACAAAACATAGATAGGTTATATTTATATAGAGAGAGAGTTTTGTTTTCTGTGGGGTTTTATCTGTGCAAGACAAGTTTTGGGCTTTTTTTTGATTTTTATAGATTTAGGAGGTACAAGCACAGTTATGTTACATGGACATACTGCATGGTTGTGAAATCCAGTATAATCATCACCCAGATAGTGTCCACTGTACCCATTAATTTTTCATCCCTCACTCTCCTCCTACTTTCCCACCCTCTGGCCCATGAGAGTCTTCACTGTCTATCACTCCACTCTATGTCCAAGGATACATTATTTCCCCAGACTTATAAAGGAGTATGTAGTATTTGATTTTGTTTCTGAGTTATTTCACTTAATGACCAACAGTTTTACTTTTGTTGTTACAAAAGACTCAATTCCATTCTTTTTTATGGCTGAGTAGTATTCCTTGGGACGTGGGTGTAGGCGTGTGGGTATATTATGGAATTTTGAACTAGATACCCATTTACTGATATTAAATTTGGATTGATAATCAGGATAAGTACACACCTTAAACATATGAGTTTTTTCTCTCCTTTGTTAAAGAAATTCTTAACTCATTCCATCTCCAAAGTTGTAAAATATCAGTTTCTCAATTTTATTAGTTTCTCCTTTTTGAATTTTTCCTCTATTACTTTAATAAATGGCACCTCTGTTCCTATACTTTCAGTGGATACCCTAGAAATATCACATCTATACTTATGACAGACTAAAGATAATCTCAATCTTTATCATCCTCTCAAATGATACAAAGATTAAACTATGCTAAAGTAATAAAATATATAGAAAGAAGATAGTGTATGCATCAAAGTAACTAACAGAGTCACATGTTCCTTTCACCTCTAATTAAGCCAAACTGCTTAGAAATCAACAGATACATTAAAAATAATTGATTTGTGAGAAAATTTAGCTGGTCATTCAGTTATTTGACTTTTATTAGTATGTAACACATTTATACTTCTTAATGTGGCATTCAGAAAAATTTAATAGAAAAGAAACACGTTTAAAAACTACACCAAGGATAGGAATCAAGATTAATTAAAATTGAGCATGAGAGATCTTATTGGGGGGATGAAAATGTTCTAAAAATGACTTATAGAAGGCATCTCCAGATGGCAGAGTAAAAACCTTAAAAAATCTGCTACTCCATTAAAGCAATGAGAACACTACTCAAAATTGATACACCCTACTTTTTTTTGTATAATTCTAGTGCTACAGATGGAATTGAGTTCATATCTTGAAGCCTTAACCAATGTGATAATATTTTGAGATAGGGACTTTGGAAGGTAAATAGGTTTACAAAAATCAGGAGGATACAGTTCTCAAGATGGGATGACAAGCCCCTTTATAAAACAAGAAAGGTCAGCAGGAAGAGACCAGAGAACTTAAGGATACAGTGATAAGGCTACTGTCTACAAGCCAGAAAAAGGGCCCTCCCCAAGAGCCAAATCTACTAACTCCTTAGTCTTGGACTTCCAAGGCTCCAGAACACTGAAAAATAAATGTCTATGTTTAAACGTTTAAGCCACCCAGGCTATGATATTTTCTAACAGCAGCCCAAACTAAGATATCTGGAAATTAATGAAGGGCTTATAAAAATCCCAGGATAGGTTTTTTATTTGAAAGGCTGATTTTCACGAAGAACAATAAGCTTTGTGGCATTTGAATTTGCCATTTGTCATTCAATTTCTCCCTAGCCCTACTGTAGCCTTAGTAGCCAAAGACTCCCAAGACAGTTGCTATGAAAACCAGTAGCCTAGCATCCAACGGACAGGTAGAATAGGTTTGGAGCTCCCCTAAAAGCCAATCTCTAGAAAAATAATTGCTCTTTGACTCATCTGGCAGCTCTCAGGAAAAGCCCCACTCACTAGGCCTGTCTTTATTTGACCAGATTCAGAACTCCCTATCCTGCAGTGTTTGTAGAAAATTATCAGCAGCAATTCTTTAGCAACACAGTGATATCCAAGACAGTGATACCAGCGTGGACAAGCAAAAGGGTGAACAATAAAATTACAAGAAAAATCGGAGAAATGACACATCTGCAAAGGCTTGAAAACTGTCAACATATTCCTGGGATGTAGAAAACCACATGCAGGTACCGTTATGCAGATGCCTATTTAAACTCTGAAACACATCTCTAGCTGGCACTGAGGCTCTGTGCAAGTAGAACATGAAGGCTAAAACCTAGATGTAAGCTACCAAGATACTGAAGACATGTCCCTACACACACAAACAAAACCCTTTGCATAAGCTGACTTACTGGTTCAAGGCCTCTAAAGAAATCTCAATCCCAAGTGGCAAAGAAGAGGTCGAATTATTGCTCCTAGCTGACAAATATGATTCTATAACTAGAACATATACCAACAACAGTTAAGTCCAAAAGGAGAGGCTCTGAGGAGGAAGAGCTCCAAGATGGCAGACTAGAGACATCTCATCAGCCTCTCTCTGTAAGATCAGAGAGAGGATGTTCCAGTCACCCCCATTAGAATTGCCCCACCCAGAAACAACATTCTGATGGCACGGTAAGATAGCAAGGGACTCCAGGAGCCAGAGGTTGGGAAGGGTAGGGTGCCTGTACCAAACAAAAGGATGGAAGGGAGTGCCAGGACACAGAGAAGGAGCCTACAGATGAAATCCCTGGTGGATTAAGTCCACAGAAGATTCTCTCTTGCTCCATCCCAGGAACCCTATAATGGTGGACTATGAACCTGACCTAACTCTGGGAAAGCCCATACCTCCAGGCATGGGAAGTGGTATGAAACAAGCAGGAACAAGGTTCCACAGGACTCTCCGGTGCACCAAAGCCAGCCCATTGTCAAAGGGCTGGAGAGGATTCATTCTGCCTCTTAGGGAAGGACCTGGAGGCTTGAGCCCAGGAACTGAAGCAAATGGCACCAGGCCTACAGGTTTAGACCTGAAGCCTACTCAGCCGGAGGTCCAGCAGCCAAGGCTCCAACTTCTTCAGAGAATCCTAGCAGAGAAGTGGAGAGAGCTAAAACCATGAAGCAGCTGGTACCCACCAGACCCCAGTTTGGAGCTGTCTCACAGGGTACCAGCAGGCAACCCAACTCTGACTCTGCCTGCTGGGCATGGAAGCCACTCCTGGGCTGACTCCCATAGAGACACAGGCTAAGTGGAACAGATCCCACTAACTGCACAGGCCCCTTTGTGGATGCA